TGGTTTAATCAAGAAAGGACTTGTATCGCTGAAGTTCCTCGGAAATAATTTCTACCGGAAATGAACAAACAAGTAGATACGTAAAAGTATGTTTAAAGTAGCTATATACTCACACACATGAAAAATTTCTCGAGCCAGTTATTGGGAGCACACGTACACATAACGAGAAGCGTGCTCACTAGAATAAAAAAAGTTTACATGACTCAAGCACCTGTTGGTACCTAATCTTGCTCAATAATTTAAAACAATGCAGTGACTTGTTGTTATGTTCTGTAATTATGAAACCAGCTATACTAATAGAGAAATATGATGTAGTCGGAATGCAATTATGTGACTAGTATGTGTTTACGCATTAAAATATGCGGAACTCTTGCAATTCCCAGAACCCCGGTTGAGAAGCACTGGTATTCAGGGTAACTCGTATAATAATAACTAAAATCAATTGTTCCACGTGTTCTTGGTATCATTGCAGGACAGTTGTTTTACGTCCTACTGTGCGACATATAGGCTAGCTTTGTAAAATCAGTTTCCAACCATTTGTGCTTAAAAATGGAGTCCAACTGCGGATGCTAACGTCTGATTCAGTTTAGTAGGAGATATCCTACAACAGTGATTAACAAGAACCAACAGACACTGGTCATTTGTTTATGCTGTAAATCGTAGGCTAAATCTGTGTGCTAAATTTCAGATATTTATGAAGATCCTTGAACAGTTGTAGGGTATTTCAACAATTTTTTATGTCTACAAATTTATGAATTAAACCTGATTTTTACGTACACCTATATATTTTTTTCAGTATTGTGTTACAGTAATTTTATTACCAAAAAGAAAGGTCAGGTTAACTATCCAATCATCCTCGTCAACTAACAAAGCTTAACAATAGAAGCTATGCATATTACTTGTTCAAAACAACTGCCCGCGCTCAAATTTATCCGTTACTAGCCCTGCCACGTAGTGACTAAAGTTCAGATTATATATATTTTATGTACTAGCTTTTTAAAGAACGGTTGTCACTATTAACTGTTATAACCTTCCCCAGTTAAAAAGTAAATCAATCGGTTATGTAACAATTTCCGTTTTATACATCTTAGAGGGGTATTAAAACAGCAACGATTATAAGCTAAATCCTACGTTTCGAAATAAGTCAGTTGATTAACTCTTAAGCTATTCTTCAAACGCGAAAACGTAGAGTTTACTATCTAAATTATTATTATCTTTTTTTTTTTTTGCCTTTCAAAATGCTAAATAAATCTCTCACTGTCAGATTCAAAGAATCCTTATCACAATTTAAGATATAAAGCATAAAAACAATTAAAGGGTGTAAAGCTTTATAAATTAATAAAATGTTCAAAACGTCCCAGTTTCATTTAAAAATATGTTTATATACACACGCACACACGTTATATTGTTAAAAGTGGCAAAATGTTTCCAGACAAACTCCCAAGGGTCAATTTGTGCTACCTTATTTTACTTCTTTTTCATCTAATTGTAGCTTTCTTGTAGAATTCTTATGTAGAAAATTAATTTTGTATCAAACCCAAATATAGAACGCTGATAATATTTCATCATATTTTTTTCGAAACTATAGTTTGATTACATGTAAATCACTAGATTCGATTTTAAGACTAACCTTCATCATTGGTTCCATACAAGTATCCATCACACAAAAAATATTCAGTTAGATAATAAAACAATCATGACTGAAAATGAAAAAAAAATTAATAAAGGTTATTTTTTAGTAAATTGATTAACATTTTGACTTGTTTGTGATATTTCTAAAATACAAACACTTGGTAAGAGTTGAAATGATAATCCACACAATGCTGTTGAGTATTTCAGTTAAGATTGTCATCATTTCTATTTTAAGGCTTACAGAAATTTGAAGCATATTGGATGGATGTAATTTTTTAAAGACTGATGAATTTTTGCATCTTTTATATACTGTATTGAAACAAAATAATGACTGTTTTCTAAAAGCTTTTTCATCTTAACAGTAATACGCTTATTTTTATACATTCAATCAGCATTGAAATAATGAGAGTGACAAATGAAAGTGTTAATACTTTTCTTTTATCTGCAAGTGTTTAAATAACAGCCCAACAACTATCACAATATATATAAAGAGTTGGCTACAAATATTTATAATTTGTAATTAAAGTGGCATATACTTATACAAAAAAACTAAATTTCATGCACTTATTTTCCCCCCCTTAAATGACTAAATTAAAATGTGCAAAAAAGTAAATAAATAAAGGCTGCATATATATATATATATATACACATGTGTGTGTGTGTGTTACTTATTTGATTGAAATGTGTGTATATATATACACACACCCTGCACTTATTCAAACTTTGCTCCACAGGCTGACTTCACCTTCTTACTTGAGGGATTGATCACACTCAGTTTTTTTTTACGTACAAATCCCTTGCTGGAGCTTTCATTTTTACTTTTAACATGACAAGGCAAGACAGGCATTTGAAAATTTACAGAACCACTGGAGTTCTGATTTTTATCTTTCAACTGTGTCAAACATTTGCTGGTTTCACTGATTTCATTAGCAAGTCGAATCATCAAAGACAATCGTTCTTCCCAGAGACTTTCTGAAGGAATAATCTTAATGTTAAGTTTGCAAGTGTTAATTCCTTTCATTAACCTTAATTCTACTGCAGAATCTTCCTCTGGTATAATCTTAGTTATCTGGGAACTGCTAAGAATATTCCTGAAAAAAAATTAAAATTAAATATTATCCAACGTCTTCAGTTGCTGTCAAAAATCCAATACTTTTATTCAGTAATTTTTTTTTAGCAGAACACATACACTATAAAAGTCACCAAAAGTAAGTTTTTGAAAAAAGTTAGTGTACATTTAAAAAAATAAGTTTATGAGGTTGAAAACAATTTAAGTTTACAGGTACTGGTTACTTAAGAGCAAACAAGCATTTAACAACAACAGTATATGTGTATGTTTGTGTAACATTAAAGTAATATAAAAGACATGAAGTAGAGAAACTCAGCCATTTAACAATTTATGTGAACTTTCAATCTGTCAATAACAACATAAATGTGACAAAAAACACAAAATAAATCACTGAAAGCAAAATACATGTACATTATTTATCATTGATAATCACCATTTTTACTTTTTTCAGTTCCCAAAGACATTTGTGTAAAAACATCAGTTTCATTTATTTCCAATGTTACACTTAATAAAAACATTTAAGTAAACCTTCACCACCTGTTTCTTGTACATTATCTATGCAATATCTGACAAAAAGAAAGCCACTTTTATGCTTCTGTTAAATAAAAGATGTAATGTTAATTTGTAATCATTCAGTTTTAATGAAGTGAGAGAAGAAAACCAGAATCCCACACTGTAAAACTGGTAAGCATGTATAGTCACAGCAAGGTAAATGCTGCCATTGAAGGAAGTAGGATAGCACAACATAACACAAAATGTCACAACAACAAAATCTCACCATTAAAATAAACAAGCTATGAGTGAGCACATATATTCTCTCCTGAAATATCAGAAACTACTATATATTACCAGACACCTGACACATATTATCTCCTGATGCACCAGTAACACCTTCTAAATATTACAATACACTTGACACATATTCTCTCCAGAAATATCAGTAGCAACTTCCAAATATTACAATACACCTAACCAATGTCATAACTATAAAAGATGGTCCCCCCAATACATATATTTTTTTCTATAATTGTACTTATGATTTTGGCTGAATAGGGCCTTCCTACAATTGTACAGGCTGTGGGGGCATACTTATGCCACTACACCAAACACAAATTCTCTCTTGACACATCAGAAACAATTTCTAAATACTACATCACACCTGACACATATTCTCTCCTGAAGCATCAGAAACAACTATCAAATATTAACAAACACCTGACAAATATTCTCTCCTGAAGAATTAATGACATATTCTAAATACTGCAACAAACCTGACACATTATGTGTATGGCATATTCCCTGGATCTCAGTGTTAGGTAATAAGTTGTATAATAATATTTTAATAATTAGTACACTATAATCAGAAAATTATTTATTATTATATTGAAACAGTCACATTCAATTGTAGATTATATATTTTCTCTGGTACAATTATTAGGAGTAATGTAATAACGAAATTCATTCACATGGCTCACGGAGACTGTGATATGTATTTATCACCATAATTATCATATACACACGCATGTACATACGAAATCTGACAGCACCGCATCTTCGCATAAATTAAAACGATATGTCGTGAACTCTCAAAAATTACCTAAACGCTGAAAGTGTATAACAGTAAATTTAAAGTTATTTATTAGACTGTGAGGTTAAGGTATAAGTTTGTGACTGCAGGTCCTCTCAATCTCAAACTCTAGGAAAATACTATTAGTAGTAGTGGTAGTACAGTACAGATACTTTGCCTTTAGTTCAACAGTTAGACTACGTACCTTATTAAAATCAAACAAAGATTTTGATCACCTATTGTTATATGCACTCTGGAAAAGTTCCTACTTGATGCAATTGCTAAATTACGTAAATACCAAATTTGAAAGAAAACCAAATTCTTCGGAACTTTAATATCTCAATTTCAATCGAACCATCCCACAAATACAATACAGTCAACTCGAACGTAAGGATGCGTCACCTACTGGTTGTCAACAAATATATATATATATATATATATATAGTCG